ACTTTGAATTTTTCTGCATCCATTTCGTGATGGTAATCTTTTGTACTCTTTGATTGGAAGGCTAATAAACAATTTTGTACAAATGCTCCTTCGGCGGATGCCGCATGACAAATTATTTGGCGCCCACCTTTTCCCACGGGCACCTTCGAGCAAGATGCTGTAGTGTCATCTGTCCGTATTTGCGCCACAGTGTGGTTGGCGTTTAACCACGTTTCATCAAGGAATATGACGTTCCCCAAAATCTTAAAAATATTCTTGCAAAACTATGTCATGCCTCTATAATTATTTTGCGTTTGTCAATTTTTTGTATTGAAAACTTATACGTTTTAAAATGGTTCTCAATGACTCTACCATTGTGCAAACCGACATCTACTAAACTTACTTGCAGCTTCGCCGCAGTAGGATATTCGCTCTTTGTGAAATAGCTGTAGGCATGTTTTCTAATTGCATCTGCGTCGAATTGATCGATACCTGTTACTGGTTTGTTCTTTTTCGTTTTTTCGGCGAGTGATGTTATTTTTTTAATATTTTGCTTTGTTTGAAAGACTCGAATTTAAATTAGCGATAAAAAACTATACACGTTGTAATGAAAAATAGATAACTTCATAATTCTTTGGATTTACATAAAAGGTTATTTTAAATCGTGTAAGTACGCTTGTGTAAAGGTATTGCGGAATAATTAATGTGAAACGCCAAAAGATAATTCCTTGATTTGGTTGATTATAAAAGCATTATTTGTCTACTAGAAGGGGGATCAAAACTACCAGTTTTTGTGGAAAAGGTGGCAACATTACCAATGACGAATAGAACGCGAACTCCCACCCGCGCCACCGTTCAACGGTATTTGTTCGAAATTTAAATCCGAATTCTACTACCGGACACTAGCGGTGGGTAGTAGCGGCTTTTTTGAGTAACGAAACGAAGCTATCTATCGAATATCAATAGCGGCTTTTGAAACACTCTATTTTAATAGAGGGTTTTGAAACACTATTTTAATAGCGGTGTAGAGCTTCAGTAGAGTGTTTCACGACGTGTTTAACTGTAAAACGTTGCGAATGAAACGATGTCCGTTTTACGAGAAAACTTGTTTGTTACCGTTTCGTATAGAATTAGACATGGTGTTAATGGTTAAATTTATTTATTTGTTAAATCATTTCGCACGGTTTGGTAAAAATATCACTTGAAAAGATTTAACGGCAAACGATTTATTTAATAATTATGATTATGATAAATTCACCCACAAGGTCAGCAAGAAATATTGAACATAAGTTTGATTTTATAGCAAATAATTATTACAATGCTTATTTTATTTAAACTTAAACACAAATCTAATTTAAATCGGGCCAAGGCAACTTAAATTATGGAATTTGAACTATTTTTTGTTAAAAACATGCACACTTACTTTCTCATTTCTAACATCGCATCTATACGAAGGGAATAGACTCATAGGTCAAATGCAAAAGCACCCGCGCTCACTCGACATTCGACGACCGGTGGTACTTCTACTACAGCGTAAAGAGTCGGTTTCTTTACTCATGTGCTTCTATTTCAACAGCCGAAGCCGTCGCCGATGCGTCGCGAAAATAGCCGAATAAACGTTTTGTTACTGATCGCTCGTTCGTGATTCGTGAAACGTGAATCGTGTTACTGAGTAAAACGTCTACTGTAATAGATAGTTTCGTTGCACTGGAATAACCCGCTACCCGCTATTGTGTGAATAGTTTCAGTAACTAGTTACGTTTTGTAACGACCACTCCTACCGGACACCCGGTAGTATGGTAGTGTAGTGTAAACGTGTCCATAAAAAAGAATGTTGATTTGTTATGCTTTATTTTATGTGCTATATTAAAGCGTAGTCTGAACTGAGCTTCAAATTTTGACATTGTCTTATTTGAATTCAAACTCACATTGTCCTTGAGTATTCATAATTTGCAGTTATCCGTCTGCTTAGCGTGGCAACTATGGCAAATATTCTTCCTATGAGCTGAGGAAATCTATGTCGGAAGCTTATATTCTGCAGTGTACTTTTTCTATATAGACTGTAATGATGGTAATGATTACAATGATGATGAGGTGCACAACTTTTCCTATTGCTCAATGATATTTTTATCTCTTGCTATCTGTACTTGCCGTTGACAGTAGCGGACGTATATATACGTATAATATATTTCATTCTGCTTCCAAAAAGCTGTGCGCGCACTGTAGCCTGTTCTGATAGTCTCGGTACACCGAGAGTCGCACTTGTTATTTTGCTTTTATTTTATTATTTTTACCGTATTTGTTAAATAAATGTTTTTCTTTTCTAAGAATAAAATAAAATAATATTTTATAAATATGGTTATTGTAATAAAATAAGAATATAAGTAATAAACACAAGTTAGGTAGCACAAAACTTTTAACTATGGCGCGACGCTTCGTTTTAAAATTCCAAATTCTCCTGCTGGTGTACGTCGCACACGGATGACAATATGCGGCACGTGCCAAGGCGGCGCGACACAAAGGCGACCGTATCTAAGCAAACACACTGTACTGTGTTCCGGTCTGAAAGCTAAAGAGAGCCTGTATTATTACAGACTGCGAGGCATTCCATCTTAGTTATCTGAGGTAGTAACGCAGCCTTCGTTTTTTGAAACTGGTGAGCTACAGTAGTCATTATTCATCAAGGGGACTATTATTTCTTTTTTCACTTGTTTTATATAAGAAAATATGACAACTCAGTTATGCTCGCACGTTATGTTTGCACAGTGGCTATGCTCGTGGCTGCAGAGCTATCGGCCGAGGGTTTGATTACCGCAGGTGACCAGTATTGGTATAGTTTTATAATAAGTTCCGAGTCTGTTCATTTGCATATGTGCAGCAGTTTGGGCATGTATGCTTAATGCCAATCGTGGACGTGTAGGTAAGGCTAAATTATTATTATTGATTTATACCTAGATATAATTTGAAAAATGTCACTGGAATCGAAATCCTCTAAAAGACCATATTATATACATAGGAATTTGTAGATTATTTTTTTTAAATTGAATTGAAGTCTTGTAAATGGCAACGAATATGTTCGTAAGATATAAAACACAAGTTGAATATTTTGTAAATTTTATTTAACTTAGTTACAATATTATGAGTACTATTTGTATAAATACATTGTTACGTTATTGCTTCCACATATATCAAAGCAACTAATATTGTTAACGATTTAATTATACGACAAAATGTAAAGCTATCGCTACATAGTCTTTAATGGTTTTTTATCTGTGCATTCCATAAATAACGCGAAAATGTAAATCTAAAAATATATTTTATTGTCTAATTTAATTTAAGTATATTTCGTAATGAGATATTTTAAGTTTACTTAATTCTAATTTTTGTGAATAACAGAACTAAGACTAGTGCTGAGTGGATTTTTTAATCTGTTTTCCGTGTAAAATACACTCAAATAATGTTTGTTCGCTTTAACTTGACGCATGAGGTATTGGTACTATTTTTTTTTAAATATTGCTCCCGTAGGACATGCCACTCTTTTTATCTCTTTTTATATTACTGTCTTGCTTATATTTAAAAGGATTTTTATTATAATATTAATTAATTTAAAAAAAAAATTATTTTAAATTCTACTAGACTTCCAAACGTCTCACGCATCAAGTAAAATGGAACGGAAACTAAGCAATACAATGGCAGTAAAGATACACAAAATAAATGAGAAAAATACTGTACAAATATAAAATTATGAACTGAAAAAAAAGCGTTTATGTTATTTCCTTAAAAATACAATCAATTTTTACTCATTCCATTTTCCGTTTTATTACAATACCTTGATTTAAATAAAGTACGAAAAGTCGAATACAATTAGAGATCCTTCACTACAATCACAAACGCACGGAGACGTTTTTAAAGTAATAACTTCTTCAGACCAGCTCGCTTGGCCACGTTGACAATCGTTAAGGCTAATCGAAAACTATTAAAATGAATGTTGAAATTAATTACACATAGTATGTTATTACAATTCATTTTATCTGTTTCTATTCTATTAATGTAAAGATCGTAGAAAGTCAATTTATTTAAGTTAGCTGTTAGATTTAGTCCGTCTGGTTCCGAAGTGAAACGGTTATTTGTTTAGAGACGAGCTTAGCACAACTATTAATTTTTTTAAATCTCTCCTCGCTCCATGCGAGTAAACTCAGGGAAGTTATAACTTGATACTATTTGCATACAACTTATTTTTTAAATAAAATTATATTACAAACTATGGTAAAGGTTTGTTAATTGACCCAAACATTTTTATCATTCGTAAATCAATCGAAACACATTCCAATAAATTATTCATTGGTGTATCGAACTTTTCATAGAGATCCTTAAATTATTTTTTTTTATCTTACTATAAGCCAGTGCCTCACTACAATCGCACCTGGTGCTAAGTCCAACTTGTATATGTTTCCTGTTCATATACAACAGGATTTTTTAAACGATCCAAAAAATATTTTTTATCATTTTAACTATACTCTGTCAACATTCTAAATACCTAAAATATGTCTACATACGAGTATATCAAAACTGAGTTGTAATAACACAAGAAAATCGCCATCGCTAATGGTGTCCTCTAAATTTTTTTAATTCAAAAATAAATCTTAAATTATAGGTACGTAGATTTTAATTAATGGAAATTAATATTTATAAATGACGAAGGTTCATCTATATCACCTTACTCGTAAACTATTTCGTATTTTTTTAGAAATGGGCATTAGTAAGAAAAAGCCAAATGTATTTTTATTGGGTCCTAGTTCACATTCGATACCCATTTTTTAATATTTTTTATCATTCGATCAAGAATCGTAGCAGACATCGATTTTATTTTGTGTATTAACACAGGAATAATCTCTATAAAAAATTCCAAGCACCGACTATCCAAAGTTCCTCGTACTATTTAACACCAAGATCCCATTCTTCGTCCACACCGTTTTTTGTACCACGCAAATCGGCGTGATCAGCCCCACGTTAGGCCTCTGTTATTTCTGGTTGGCCTCGGTGACGTCACTTAGGGCTGTCACCACGAAGGATTCGATGTCCGCCTCGTTGGACCCACGTGCAATTCTGAAGTAGCCGTTTTCACCCCACTGACGTCCCCAACTATTAGCTACCAACTGAAAACACAATTAGGAATATTATTAACATTATAATGATTATACTATCTACTAATAATTTCATAAGCTTTGATCCAACTTGGATCCTATATTTTGACTGTTATATCTAAAGGTGGTGTTTGGAAATTTTTCTTTCGTGCAATACAACTACTTATAAAACAAACGTAAATAAAATAAATATTAATATATAAGAAATGTTAATATTATTAGTAAGGTATTATATTAAAAAAATTACGGGAAAAAGGTTATCTGCGAAGTTTCTTTCGCCGTTTTTTTCTAAACAGATGAACCTCATTTTCAAACGGTAGGATATTAAAAACATTGATATTTTACTACCAAAATCTCTATAAAGTTAAACTTTTTCTAAATGCTTTACGTTTTGCTATTTCTTTATCAGGCTTTTATTATTTTGGTTTTTATATTCATATGAATTTATTGATAAAATATAAGCTTACAGTATATGCAACAAATCGCAATACTAAACACGCAAAATGAAATACACAAATAAAATCACCTATAGTTAAATATTATACTACACAATATAAATTACAGACACGATCATACACCAAACTTAATTACTTCACCCTATACTGTTGATCTATCTTACTTAAATATTATTTTTAATAATATTGTCTTCCAGCTGCGAGTCTCAACAGACGACTAGCACTCTGCGCTAGAAAGGACTATAGTGTCAGAGTGTATGCGCAAGCGAAGGTGTTCACTTTTCCTTGTTCGATGAGATGGCAATCCGATATGACCGAAGAGAGATTAGGCGCAGTACCAACGGTTTTACATGTTGTATTCCTCCTCCTCCACATGATCAGCAGTCATGCTTAAGAAACCAATGAGGCAGTCAATTTAAGAAATATCAGTCAGATTAAGGAATCTATAAAACATCTAATCGCACGTTATTCGTATACATGTATACACATCGACATCAATTTAAAAAGGTCTTACCCAATACTTGTCGCCGCGGTCTTCACCCCATCCAATTATACGGACGCTGTGGTATCCCTTCAAGTCGTTGTTGCCCTGGTAGCTACGTCGGTAAATGCCATCGCGATAGTGGAAGAAATCTTGGTGCACCGTCATAACGGCTGCAAAAAATGTGAATGGTTAGACAGATAACGTATGTAGAGATATGTGTGGTAGATACTGATACTGATATAGATAGATACTGCAGCTATATTATGGTTGTAGCACGAATGTGTCGGCTCGACCGCGGAAAGACTGCGCTTTCACAGAATACTATAGTAAAATGTGAATGGTTAGACAGATAACTTATGTAGAGATATGTGTGGTAGATACTGATACTGATATAGATAGATACTGCAGCTATATTATGGTTGTAGCACGAATGTGTCGGCTCGACCGCGGAAAGACTGCGCTTTCACAGAATACTATAGTAAAATGTGAATGGTTAGACAGATAACGTATGTAGAGATATGTGTGGTAGATACTGATACTGATATAGATAGATACTGCAGCTATATTATGGTTGTAGCACGAATGTGTCGGTTCGACCGCGGAAAGACTGCGCTTTCACAGAATACTATAGTAAAATGTGAATGGTTAGACAGATAACTTATGTAGAGATATGTGTGGTAGATACTGATACTGATATAGATAGATACTGCAGCAATATTATGGTTGTAGCACGAATGTGTCGGCTCGACCGCGGAAAGACTGCGCTTTCACAGAATACTATAGTAAAATGTGAATGGTTAGACAGATAACTTATGTAGAGATATGTGTGGTAGATACTGATACTGATATAGATAGATACTGCAGCTATATTATGGTTGTAGCACGAATGTGTCGGCTCGACCGCGGAAAGACTGCGCTTTCACAGAATACTATAGTAAAATGTGAATGGTTAGACAGATAACTTATGTAGAGATATGTGTGGTAGATACTGATACTGATATAGATAGATACTGCAGCTATATTATGGTTGTAGCACGAATGTGTCGGCTCGACCGCGGAAAGACTGCGCTTTCACAGAATACTATAGTAAAATGTGAATGGTTAGACAGATAACGTATGTAGAGATATGTGTGGTAGATACTGATACTGATATAGATAGATACTGCAGCTATATTATGGTTGTAGCACGAATGTGTCGGCTCGACCGCGGAAAGACTGCGCTTTCACAGAATACTATAGTAAAATGTGAATGGTTAGACAGATAACTTATGTAGAGATATGTGTGGTAGATACTGATACTGATATAGATAGATACTGCAGCTATATTATGGTTGTAGCACGAATGTGTCGGCTCGACCGCGGAAAGACTGCGCTTTCACAGAATACTATAGTAAAATGTGAATGGTTAGACAGATAACGTATGTAGAGATATGTGTGGTAGATACTGATACTGATATAGATAGATACTGCAGCTATATTATGGTTGTAGCACGAATGTGTCGGCTCGACCGCGGAAAGACTGCGCTTTCACAGAATACTATAGTAAAATGTGAATGGTTAGACAGATAACGTATGTAGAGATATGTGTGGTAGATACTGATACTGATATAGATAGATACTGCAGCTATATTATGGTTGTAGCACGAATGTGTCGGCTCGACCGCGGAAAGACTGCGCTTTCACAGAATACTATAGTAAAATGTGAATGGTTAGACAGATAACTTATGTAGAGATATGTGTGGTAGATACTGATACTGATATAGATAGATACTGCAGCTATATTATGGTTGTAGCACGAATGTGTCGGCTCGACCGCGGAAAGACTGCGCTTTCACAGAATACTATAGTAAAATGTGAATGGTTAGACAGATAACTTATGTAGAGATATGTGTGGTAGATACTGATACTGATATAGATAGATACTGCAGCTATATTATGGTTGTAGCACGAATGTGTCGGCTCGACCGCGGAAAGACTGCGCTTTCACAGAATACTATAGTAAAATGTGAATGGTTAGACAGATAACTTATGTAGAGATATGTGTGGTAGATACTGATACTGATATAGATAGATACTGCAGCAATATTATGGTTGTAGCACGAATGTGTCGGCTCGACCGCGGAAAGACTGCGCTTTCACAGAATACTATAGTAAAATGTGAATGGTTAGACAGATAACTTATGTAGAGATATGTGTGGTAGATACTGATACTGATATAGATAGATACTGCAGCTATATTATGGTTGTAGCACGAATGTGTCGGCTCGACCGCGGAAAGACTGCGCTTTCACAGAATACTATAGTAAAATGTGAATGGTTAGACAGATAACGTATGTAGAGATATGTGTGGTAGATACTGATACTGATATAGATAGATACTGCAGCTATATTATGGTTGTAGCACGAATGTGTCGGATCGACCGCGGAAAGACTGCGCTTTCACAGAATACTATAGTAAAATAGCAGCTTAATAAGCTGTGTTTCGTATGGTGAGTGTAGAGAACCCGTAACTATTTTACTGGACTTCTAACGAGGCATTCCATTTTAGTCCTCAGGGGTGACAAGGCATCGGCATTTTGATTCTTAATGGAGGATAAATGTAGATGTCTATAGGCCACAACATCCACTTACCGTCAGGCACAGTTAATTTATATGAATTATATATACGCACAGTATAAATATGTATATTATGTATACATATTTATACTGTGCGTCAGGTGAACGGTTTCTGTGTGCTAGGTTTGTCACCCCTATTATGTAAAAAATGTAATTTACGTAATTGATGTAAGTATGGTGACGTTTTTATTGGTTCAACAAAAGAGATCCCTATCACCTTCATTTCATCTTTGGAAATTTATGGGCACGCGGCAGCCAACTGCTCAGCCCCACCCAGGTGCGTTAAGTGCCTAGAACCCCATCACTCGAAAGAGTGCCCTCGGCCCAAAGAACCCGCAGGTCAATGACCGAACTTTCCCGGCTCTCGGAAGCCGCATGCCCCACCAGGGCCTGCCCCTACCACAGCCCCCTCAGGGCTCATCCCAGCCCACACAGGGCATCTATCGGCCCCCTCAGGGCCCCTATCGGCCACCTCAGGGCCCTCCTCGGCCCCTTATGAGCCTTCCGTTTTCCCAGCCTGCGCTGCTCCCAATAAACCCTTGGTTCCCAAAGGCAACAAATATCCCGCGGCCCTTTACCGCCCCACAAAAACAGGCAGACCCTATAGTAGACGATCTAAGTCTAGTGTCTAACACTATGAGTAAGATCAATGTAGGGGAAATCTCTATCCTTGCGCGTAAACTGCGCGCTGCTCAGTCCCCTCAGGACCATCTCCTTGCTCTTGCTGAGCACATCGATCTACTAAGGTCGTTGTAAAAACACTATGCCGGAGCTCTCTGCTCCCGCAATATCGCACGGTCGTATCAAACCAAAGGGTTTGTCGCTTGTTTCGGTCAATATCCGCGGTTTGCGAAATAACCTCCCAAAGCTTAGGCTCTTTCTTCGAGATCCCGAAGCCGACCTCCTCCTCCTTCAGGAGACCCACCTTAGCCCTAAGGTCTCTAAAGTCCTCTCTATCAAAAGTTATTCACTTCTTCGTAATGACAGACCCGACCGCAAAGGCGGCGGTACTGCCTCTTATTATAAAAAGTCCCTTCATTGCTCCCACATCCCCACTCCGACGCTTACCAGTATGGAAGCCACTTTCACTAGATTAGCCATGACTGGACCCCAGTCTATCATTATAGCCTCTTGCTATATCCCTAGCGGAACCCTCCGTTAAGAGTGATTTCGAGGCCATTCTTGCACTAGGCGACTCAGTCATTATGTTTGGAGATTTTAACTCCAAGCATACTGAATGGACCTGCCGCACTACTACTAGTAGTGGCAGGATGCTGCTCAATATCACTCAGTCTCTTCTCGTTCTCTCAGTCTGTCTACAGCTCCCTCGCTGTCACCCACTATCCCGACAACGTTAACTACGCTCCTGACGTGCTAGACTTTGGTCTAGTTTCGGAGTCTCCCTCAACCTTAGAGCAATCGAGTATCTCGATGATCTAGGATCCGACCATCGTCCTGTATCCCTCCTTCTTGGCCATCAGCCACCTCGATACCCACTTCCAAAACCTACACCAACTGGAAGGGCTTCAAGAAGTCTCTAGCCTCGGCTATGGACTCTCCGGACCCTCCCATAACCCTCTCCTCCGACGTCCTCGACAGTACGGGGAAAATAGACACCGCGGTCGAAAATCTCACCTCTCTTATAACATCCTGCCTTAAAGAGAATGAAAAGGTTGTCCCGGTTGCTAAAACTAGTCTTCCCCTAGATATTAGCAACCTGCTCGAAGCCAAAAAAGCTGCCCTCCGTAGAGCCGCACGCTATCTTACTCCCGAGTATAGACTCGCGGCCCACCGCCTTCAACGCAAACTCCGTTACCGCCTCAAAGACTTCAGAGGCCTCGAAAGGAGCAATCTCATGGAGAAAATCTCTCCCTCTCACACAGCGTACTACCAGATGGCGAGAGCCCTCCGGATAGACGCTATCACGCACACTCCCCCTCTATCTCATCCTGACGGCTCTATTGCCTTCGAGGACGAAGAAAAGGCTGAGTGCTTCGCCGACAGCGTAGCCGCTCAATGCTCTCCCAGCTCACAACCCACTGACCCCCTACATATCCAACTAGTGGAGGACGAGGTCCGTCGCCGGAACTCGCCCCCCACCGCCTCTGACCCTATCACTGTGTCCAAAGATGAGATTTCATCCACCATCAAAGGACTTAAGCCCAAAAAAGCAACGGGCGCATGGCATCTCCAACAAAGCCCTCAAACACTTTCCGGAGCAGGTGATCGCCTTATTGGCCATAATCTTCAACGCCTGCTTCGAATTCAGCTATTTTCCCACCTCTTGGAAAGAGGCAACTGTCATTGGCATTCCCAAGCCAGGCAAACCTCACCACCTCCCCTCCACTCACCGTCCCATCAGCCTCTTCAAGGCCATGGGCAAACTCTTCGAACGAGTTATTCTCGTGCGCATGAGGCGCCAATTGTTTCCCACAGACGGCGACCCTCTTGTCATCCCTCAACAATTCGGGTTTCGTTTCAAAGACTCGTGCCCCCAGCAAGTTCACCGCATAGTGGAATATATTCTTAGCGGTTTTTATCCTCGTCGTCAAAA